GGTCTTATTGGTTGTGTAAATTTTGGTGGATTGGAACAAAAATTAATTTTGTATCTCCCTTGAATACATGCTAATGTCTTACAAGCTTCTTTGATAGCTATTCCAATGTCTGATTGGAAAATTTTCTTCAAGTGTACCATATATATCATGGACTAACCCATGATCAATAATAGTTTGTAGAGAGATATCATCTCCAATATTTCTTTGTATGCTTCTAAAATATTTTAAATTTATATCAGCCCTCAATATTAAGAATCTTTGATGAGGCTTAACAATTAATTTATCATCGAGATGAAGTAAAGGAAAAATATTTGTATTCGCAATTATTCCTAGATGCCTTTCTTTTCCTTGGTATAATTTCATAAAATAATTTTGTATATCAAGAAAGGTTTTGTAATGCCTTTTAGCATATTTCTACCAAATTAGATCTATAATATCTCGAGTAAAGTATGACAAAATTTGTTCAGTCTTAAAACTTAATCTAGGAATAAGGAACTCTTGTGGAGTATTGTTTAAATATTTGTTACATTTTTCCTCTAGAATTACTTCTTCTTCTTCTTATTACACTTTATTTTCCTCATATATTATTTTAGCTTCTGACTCATTTTTTATATCATTCTGTTGTTTTAGACATGACATACATGCTTGTCTTAAACATAACCTACATGTTGCTCTTTGTGTTGGATCTTGATAATATATACAAAATACATATTTTATATTAGAATCACCTTTTTTATGATCCCACTTGTGTTCGCAGATTATTTGATCGATCATTTCTATCTTTATTCCTGCTAACTCATCAATTAAGTCTAACTCTTCTTCACTTGATTCTTTTTCTTCATCTGTCTCTATAATTGAGTATATCGATTCATCATCTATTATATCATCATCACAGACTAAAATATTTTCATTCACACTATCTATTATTAGAACCTTTTCTTATTCTTCTTGCTTATTGGAATACCTTTTCTTGTCTTTATTAGGACATGTTTTGCTTAAGTGACGTGGCGAGTTGCAAATAAAGCATTTACATGTACTATCATAATTTTTCTAGGATTATACCTTCTTACATTTCTCTTGTGGAGGAATGGAGCTCTATTGTCTGATCTTCTTAGAAAATAACGTCTCTTTGTCCTTACATTTCCTTTCTTATAATTCTTAATATATTTCTTGTTTCTAGATCTCTCTTCTCCATATGTCGATGGTATTTGAACTATTTTATTACAGAAATTATAATATGATTGTTTCATTGATCTTTGGGCTTGTATGTTTGTGCATATTTTTCTTAACTGTTTGAAAACGAATGTTATAGTCTGAGAGATATTATATTCTTTACCATTAGTTTCTTTTTTATATTCTTTAAATATCATAGAACCTAAAGGATCTGGTAATTTATTAAAATATCTTTCAACTATACCTTGGTTATAGCCTTGCTTGGCAGTCGTAGCATTATACAAATAGTGTTGAGAAAATTCTTTTATTCATTTCTAGCTTGTTAATGACATTTTTTCTATTTCTTTTAATCTTTTATTCTGTAAGACAATATATCCTAATTCAGGATCTTCACCTATTACAATGCTTGATATAATATTTGCAAAATTATATGGGTTACTACCGGCCACTTTTAATTGGGCATAATGATTAGGGAAAGCTTCTACCCATTGTTCCATAAGACTTTGACAGATTCTCCTAAAAATGTTTCTAAATATGTAATCATATCTTCCACTCTATTTCCAATATTATGCTGATTTTGTATATACTTTTGGACTAACAATCCTTTTCATATGCTAATTATATTTGACCACTCTATAGGATCATGTGCTGCTAAATTTAATATAGCACCATCACTTCTATAATTCTAAAATTGAACCGTCTTTTCAAATTCTCTTCTTTTTGAACCCATATGCTTATATTGTCCAGGTATATATCTATATGTAGGTTCTTGTTTTTCTGGTGGCCAAGTTCCTGGTTTTCTAGTTGGTCTCTCTTTTTCTCCTACTATCTTTATTTCCGGACCTCATCTTCTTTTTGATGAACTTGGATATATTTCCATTGCTTCTATAGCATTATTTTTATGCAACTCTTTATTTTCTAAGGAGTTTATGAGACTTACTAAGTTATTATAAATATCTCAATCGTATCTTCATCCTCTTCTTCATAGCTTTCTAGTAAAAACTTATTATTGATTTCTCATTGCTCTTCTTCGCTTATATCATTATCTTCTATGTCTTTTATCTTATCTTTGCTATATTCTAATTCTTTTTGGGCTTCCCTTACCCTATTTTCTATTTGTTTTGACACAAATTCATTTTCCTTTATTGGAATGATAAATTTCTTATTATTTAACTCTCTATCTTTCTTGATGTTATTAAGTCTATATAACTCTCGTCTAAAGTAAAGTTCCTTTTCTCTTAGAGCAGCCCATTGGCATATCATAGAGGTTTTGTATTCATCATAAATTTTGCTTAACTTTTGCTCATAATGTTTTATTTCATTATCTATATCTAATTTTTTCATAAATTCACATATGTTATGCCTTCAATTTTCTTCTAATTTTGCCTCTGAACTGGATGCTTCCAAATCATCTAAACTTTGTTCTTTATAATCTACAAACCTAATACTAGTCATCCCTCTATTTTTTTCATAGCTTATGTAATCTTTAGATTGTTTTAAAAAATTTTATTCTATTAACGAGCTTACCTTCCATTCTTCCCCCGCTCTTTCTTCAGAACTTATTTTTAGAGGACTCATAAATTTTATTCCTTTAGATTGCATACTTTCTATAACATTGTTCACATTTACCTTATATTTGGTTCCACTTCTGTTGGTTAACCTTCCTATAAATTATATGCTTACTAATAGATTTGTTCATTTAAAGTCTTCATAGCCTTTGGTCTGAAATCCAAAAACTATCCTATCTATAAATTCTTTTACTGGCATTATTAAATCTGGGGCTATATATGTTATTAACATGTTTTCATTCATATCACCTTCTAAAAATCCTAATGCTGCTTTGTTTATTGAGTCTCATCTTTTATCTAATAAAGTTATTAAAACGTTGGTTCCTAATTTTTTCCTTGTCATTCCTTTAATTTCAATGATATACATTCCCTGATGTATATATTTATACCCTGAATATTTTAAAGTATTCTTAAATTGTTTACTAACAATTCTTAGCAGAGCTGGTTCTGTCAATACACTTAATTCTACTTCTCTAGATATTCTATATAATTCATTTTTATTTTCAAACCAACTCATTTGATATATTTGTTGAGGCCTTATTTTTTTAGAGTATCTTTCATATCTTTCAAGATCTCTTTCTACGTCTATCATTTCTTCTAAGGTTTCAATATCATCACATCCTCCCTTTAGTTTATCTATAAAACCTAAAGGTCTTATGTCTCTATTTACTAGATGGAGTGACTTGTCTCTTCTAGAGAGGCTCTCAGATACTTTCATCTTTCTGAGTTTAAAGATCTAGTAAACTCTACTATTCCTACTGATGATAACATAATTTCTTTGTTGTGCTCCACAATATTTATACTATCTAAATTCTTATATATATAAGTTATCTCCTTTTTAATATAATCACTATTTTGGCTGATTCTTCCTTGGGAAACTTTACTTTCTTCTAAAGTCTGTAATGCTAATTCTAATGTATTATTGGTAGCTAAATATTGCTCTTCAAGGTGCTTATGTTCCTTTTGCAGTCATCAAATTTTAGTTCTACATCGTCTTGCCTCTTTCTCCAAGATATGTAAAAGTTATGTATCAAATCAACTATTAGGTTTATCTCGTCTGTGAGAGGTATGCCAAGTATGTTCTTGAGAGCTATTTAGTGTGCACCTTATATTTATATTCTCTTTAGCATTGACTGGTCTTTCCTGTATTAACTTCTAAATTTAAATAATGTAACTTTTCAATGTTTAACAAATTATAGTAAATCTCTTAAATTCGAAATTTAATAACCAGCCTTTGATACCACTATTTCTACAAGGTATATATATATATATATATATATATGGAAAAAATTTCCTACTCCCTGGGTAATTACTCCCTCCTCCGAGGCACACACGAGAGGCTGGCTGGTCTGTTACCACAGCTAACGGGTGGTAGTATTGAGGCCGTGCATGGTTTTATAGACATGGTGTTTAACTGTTTAAGTACGGCAAACCACGGTTTGCAACCATAGCGCGCAAGCAGCTTGAAGCTCCGCCAAACTAAACTAAACTAAGAATTAAGTGTGAGAACCAAATCGGTCATCGCTCTAGCGGAAGTAATTGTCTGTGTGCGTGCCCCAGGCCATACTCCCCTTCCCTTCCCTTAACTGAAACAGCATGCATGTGACAGGCAGCACATCCGCATCGACGACCCCTCGGCACTAGTTTTAATAGAGCACGACGACGGATCGGACTGCCCATCCGCATCACGCGCCGCTGCCACGGTGGCACCGCATGTATACATCAGGATCGGTCAGAGCAGACGGTCCGTCCACATCTGATGACAAATATATGCGGGGCCGCTGGACAAATTCCCCCACGATCCAAACGAGCGTGCATTACATACACTACTAGCTAGCTGTGGTGCGCTAAGTGCTGAGAGCTGCCGATTATATTAAAAAGAAGATAAGCCCAAAGTGAGCGACCACCAACCACGCCGCAAAGCAAACTCCACAAAAGAAAAAGAAAAACAACTCTAGTCGGTCGGATTGGGACATCGACACGAACTACACAAAACCAAAGCTCAACTCAAAAGGAGAAAAGAGAACCACCACCATCTCTAACCACCACAAAGCACCGTCAAAGCCCGGACGACTAAGGACGTCAGGCGAAAAACACCATCGTCATCGCTTTCGCGCCGTCATTACTAACGATGATCCAAACCGAGCTAGCTCTGCTGCCAAGGAGGACTAGCCGCCGTAGGTCATAACGAGCCATGTAGCAAATCACGCATAATCGGATCCGCTTGCGCCGCCTGTCAAGACGATGTACCACACCGGATTAGCCACCGCCAAGGAGGTCTAACCGCCGTAGCCTGCTACGGGCCACGGTCTGCCGCCACACTGCCGCCCTCGTCATGCTGCGGAGAACGGCCATGACGAAGGTGTACGGGCCGCGGCCGCCACACGCACAGATCCAGTGCAGAGGGGACCGGATCCGGCCACCGGAGGACCGCATCCGCCGCCCCTGAGCCCCAGACGCCGAGCCACGGCCGTAGTCCTCGATGACGAGCAGCAGCTCCGTGAGGCCACCGCTACCAAGCGCGCAGGGTGTGGAACGCCCCGGTAACGCCGACCGTGGATGGGGGCAGGCGGGCAAGGCCCGGCCGGCCGCCGCCCCGGCGAGGCAGCAGGCGCGCGGGCACGTCGGTGGCGTCACTGCCGACAGCTGCCACTCACCGGCGCCCGAGCCGAAAGCCAGGCCGTTCCAGGCCCACTCCTCCCACGCGGTCATGGCCTGCTCACTGTCGCCGCCGTCGTACTCCACGCTGACCACCCGGTGGCCTGACCGGACGCAGCCGAGCACGCCCGCCATGGGCACCGCCCCGCACCTGCTGCCCTTCCCGACGTAGATCCGGCCGAGGGCACCGGATCCGCGCTCGCCGCTGCTGGGAGCCGGCCGCCAGCAGTCTGCACGGGAGCTCCACCGGGAGAGAGAGAGAGGGAGGGAAAGAGGGAGGGAGGAGATGAAAAGGCCCAGCCGCCGCCGTCCTTGCTCTCCGCCGACCACCGGCGTCGAGCTTTGGCGGCAGCCAGGCGGTGGCGGCGTGGGGGAGGGCCTGCGGCGGTGTTCTCTCCTTGCTTCTCTGCACTTGTCGACGACAGTCACTATGAATTAAAAAGAGTATTCTTGGATACTATCTTTCAGACAAGAGTATGTTTAGATATATATAATACATAATTAGTATTATCGATAGATATTTGAATTTAGTTTTTTAATAAAATTATTTGAAGATAGAAATGTTGCACGTAGTTTCTATAATTCGAGTCAAAGTTATCGGCACAAAAATCGTAACGGCAAACATTTAGGAACAAGGGTATATATATATATATATATAGTAATTATATATATAGGGAAATTATTTGCTACTCCCTAAAAGCAGTTACTCCTTCCTTCTAATCACGCGTACGTACGTCCGGCGAACCTGTCCGCTCACGTTCACGGATGAAAACGGATAAGATTCGAACGGATATCATTGATATTATATTTGTTTTCATATTTTTAGTCGGATTCGGATTTGAATACGGATAGTGTCAGCCATGCCGGATAGTATACGATTAGATGTCGACATCATAAATATGCGATTTAAGTATTCGGATACGGATACAGTATCGGACGTTGAATATCCGGACTCGGATACGGACAGATTTGAACCCCTCTAAATTGATTCGGACTCGATTACGGTCGGAAAATATCCGTACCGTTTTCATCCCTACTCACGTTTAACCGCGGTGGCAGGCTGCTTAGTGGGTTGACAAAAACCTGACCCGATACGTACATACTCTGTTATTGTACATGTATGTGCACATACGTACGTACTCCAGGTATCATATACTACCTATTCTTTTAATATGACCAGGCACCATACTACATATTTTAATTTTAATTGTACAGAACATACTCGCACAGACCAAATCGTGCTTATCCACAGAGCAGATGAAACAATCCACGTAAATCACGGTGAGAGTTGCGGTCGCAGTCAACAAACATATCGGATCTAATTAATAGATCCGCTAAACAGATCACCTAGTTTAATCGGATGGCATTTTATGAAGGGAGTAATTACTCGCGGAAGTATAGAAAATACACCATATATATAATAATGTCAAACACACAGGGATCGGAATGGATGAATAACCATTTATTTATTTTGTTTATTTCATGAGATAACTCGATAGCATGAAACAAACATATGCATGACCGCCCGATCACAACTTGAACAACCCGGGATCAAAGTAAACATGCTAGCTCTGCTACACGCACTCTAAAGATCAAAGTAAACGTGCTCATGCAGGATTGGTTAAAGCAAACATGCGTGCATATTATTATTGAACTGGCATGTATAAATATATTGTGCGTGCTGAGTGCCCATTAATTAATTAATGAATTATGTAATTTATTACGCGTCAGCGTGATCTGAGCCAGTAGTTGTTGCCGTGCCGAAGGGCTTCTGGTTGTAGCAGTCCAAGTTGTCGCCGTAGCTCACACCAAGGATGTCACAGAAGCGCTTGTAGAACCCAATCCGATTCTCACTACGGTCGTCGGGGACGCCGTGGCCGCACTCGTCGCCGTCGATGATGTTGGTGATGACGCCGAAGCCCGGCACCCGCCCCGCGTCCAGGTCGGCGGCCGAGGGGCTCCACTGTCCCGTGACGACGCCGTGGCACGACGGCCTCGTCGGCCGCGCGCGCGGCGCCATCCAGGACCCGATGGCCGTCTCGAAGAAGACGACGGCGTCGGTGGTGACGACACCGGCCGGCTTGTAGCAGAAGCCCCAGGCGTAGGTGCCGTTGGGCGCGCCGTCCCACCCGCCCGTGGTGTCGTGCGACTCCTGCGCCAGCCACGCGGCCACCTCGCGCTTCCGGGTGTCGACGTCGCCCGTGGTGCCGAAGCCGGCGGACGCGTCGGCAGCGGCCGCGGCGATGAAGGCGTCGTAGGTGAAGAAGCCCCTGGCGGGACAGTTGTAGTCGTTGCGGTGCGGCAGCAGCTCCTCGAAGAGCGACGGTGAGACGATGGACGCCACGCTGCTGGCGTCGCAGCCGTTGCACTGGCTCTGGCAGCCGGCGCCGCAGTAGGCGGGGCTGGAGCCGCAGAAGCCCCATTTGCTGCAGCAGAGGCAGTCGGGGCAGAGCGGCGTGGTGGCGTTGGCGCCGCACTCCGGCGGCTCGCCTCGCGCCGACACGGCCAACGCAGTGGCTACCATGGCGACTACTGCCAGCGTTCTCATCATCATCATGGTCATAGCAAAATAAAATTGGCAAGCTTAGCTAGGTGGATCGATCAATAGAGTATACTGCAACTGCTGGTGATCTGATATTCTGATGAGTGTGTGTTTTGCAGAAGCGGATGCAGAGCGTCTCGTCCTTATATAGGCGCTGCAGAGCAGAGCAGCTGGTAGTTGGCACCATGCATGCATGCATGGATCACGTGCTTGCTTGTTCATCACACAGCAGAGATCACATATACGTACAAGCGGCTTTAATTTACCACTGAGGGACCAGTGCAGGACCCACGAATATCACATGGCATCCATCATCGGTCCACGGGCACATTCATCATGGCAAAGCAGCAAGTAGGTAGCTAACTAGGTGGATTAGTGTGTGTGTGTGTTGCAGAAGCGGAGGGAGAGCACATGTTTTTTTTATGTACACGCATTGTTAGCTACTAGATCCAGCCCATGCATGCATATTTGCATACTCGTGGCTCACGTGCTAGCCTCTTCATCATCACTCATCAGACAGAGATCACGTGCATTCATGCATGCGATGCTGGTCCAGAGTGCTCCTTTTGCAACGAGAAACGAACGAACGGATTTCACGTGGAACAATGTACCCTACGTATGGATGAGATGCATGTCGGTGCTTATTATCCTGTATTTTTGCAATGCATGCTGGAACGACGGACATGCATGTGTGATTTACAGTGGCGGCTTTCTGAGGATGGCGGTCGCTGTAAAATATGATTCCAGTTTACAAAGCTAACCCTATGAAATCTTAATAGCCATGCCTCTTAAAAAGGCCCAACCTACTAGGAAAACCTTAATAATAAATAAAATAAGGTATCTAGCCTCTCATAGCCTCAGCCCCTCCGGCTGCCCCAGGCCCCACCCATAACTATTATATCTCCCAGCCTTATCTCATCTCCCACGACTCAACTCCCGCCTACATATGCCCCCAACTCTGAACGACACTCTGAAAACAAATGGACATATAAACAATCGCTCCATTCGCTCGAGCTTATCAGCCAGAATCAGCCTTACTTCTCAGCCATGGAACAATATTTTTCTCTCACAATAAATCAGGCCTACAAATCAGCCGCAGCCGCAATAAATCCTGCCGAACAGAGCCAATAATTTTTTAGAGGTGATTTAGAGTAGCCTCTAAAAACCTTTGTATTTCAGCGGAAATACCCTGTTTGAGTAAATGGTCCATCTGTGCAGCAAAAGAGGGCATCTTTGAAAATAATCTTTTATGTTAGTAGTGAGAGAGATGTGGGGTAGAATTTAAAGCACAATAACATACTAGTTTCAACTTCGTGGATTTTTTATGACTACTTAAGTAGGCCGGTTTGGTATAGCTTTATTTGGGGGTGGAGCTTTTTTTTTGGCATCGGCTCCAGAGCAGCCTCACCGGTAAAGTTGAAACTGTTTTGGTATATTTGGCAAAAAAAAAATTAAAAGTTTACCCTGTATTGTCATGAGAGGACAAATGTCCAAAGAGCTTGTAGAAGCTTTTTTTTTTCAGTTTCACGCACGGCGCACCCCTTCTTGTGATAGCACCCTTGTCGACGACAGTCACTATGAATTAAAAAGAGTATTCTTGGATACTATCTTTCAGAGAAGAGTATGTTTAAATATATATAATACATAATTAGTATCATTGATAGATATTTGAATTTAGTTTTTTAATAAACTTATTTGGAGATAGAAATGTTGCACGTAGTTTCTATAATTCGAGTCAAAGTTATCGGCACGAAAATCGTAACGACAAATATTTAGGAACGAGGGGGTATATATATATATATATATATATATATATATATATATTATATAGGGAAATTACTTCCTACTCCCTAAGAGCAGTTACTCCTTCCTTCTAATCACGCGTACGTACGTCCGGCGAACCTCCCCGCTCACGTTTAACCGCGGTGGCACAGGCTGCTTAGCGGGTTGAAAAAAACCTGACCCGGCCCGTTAATCCTCTGTGTGTATATTAGAAAATTTGACCGTCTTTTAGGGCGTCCGCAAGCAATACAACATTCGCCGCCGCCGGCGTCGTCGTCGAGTTGGCTCACTAGGCCCCGCTTCCTTCGTTTCGCATTCATTCCCATCTCGTCTTGGAGGATCACGGCGAGAGATCGGCCTACGAACGTACCATCCCTGGTGACAAGGTATTGATTTAATGTGGCAAAATCAATGTCGTTTCTCCATGTGCTCTTCTTTGATTTTGAATGGCAATCTGAGCCGATCTAGTATATGTGTTCGTGACCTACTTTTTTCATCTAAATCATTTCAATATGCATATATGACTCCAATGCTATTATTATTGTTTTTTGTTTATTTCAAGCTGGGTTCACAATGATGACTTTTTTCTGTGGAACATGTATGTACTCGTACTGCATGTGCTCTCTTTTTTTTGACGTTTTGTTGATTCTGCGAAAGAACATGTATGTACTCATACTTGTATGTCTAATAGATCATAGATTACTCTATTATTGTACATGTATGTGCACATACGTACGTACTCCAGGTATCATATACTACCTATTCTTTTAATATGACCAGGCACCATACTACATATTTTAATTTTAATTGT